TGGAGAAGGGGCGTAGCCCACCCTGATTGATCCTAGGCCTGCCCAATCAGTCCAAAGTAATGTAAAAAAAGTTTCCCTTGCTTGCGTTACATGATATGCTTTTTAATGTTTGATTTTTTACATCGTATGTGATTTGCTATTGGCCCGCTGTATCTTTTGCGATCAATAAGAAAATGATGTAAATGTTGCGGGTCGGTGCATGCGTAGCAGTAGCCTCATTGGCTGTCGTTGTCGTCAGACTCTCTTAGAGCTTAAAGCTCCGTTACGTTGCCCCCCAACAGGCAGCACAAACGATGAAACCCACCTCATTTGTTAGTGATACGTTTGCGCCGTTGAAAGTAGCGTTTGTGCTGCTTTCGTTCCCGAGATATAGCGCCTGCTGTTTCATTATACCGCTCGAGGACGGCATTGTAAATGGGAGGGGTGCCCCTGTGCCGGCAGGACGGTCAGTTAGAGCCCGGGCCACCCTCTCTTGCACAGGCCCACCCAACAATCACTTCCTGGCTACACCCCTGCAGTGGCGCAGACGCATACCAGCATGACACAGTGCTGCTCAAGCAGGCGACACAGTGCTGCTCAAGCAGGCGGCACAGTGCTGCTCAAGCAGGCGGCACAGTGCTGCTCAAGCAGGCGGCACAGTGCTGCTCAAGCAGGCGCCACAGTGCTGCTCAAGCAGGCTGCACAGTGCTGCTCAAGCAGGCGCCACAGTGCTGCTCAAGCAGGCTGCACGGGGTGCCGTTTGAAGGCATTTTAAAACAACTTTATCAATGATTTTCTGTTTAATTATTCAAATCCATAATGTGCTCATTACATACTGGAGCTGGTACAGTACTTGAGAGTGTGTTGAATGTACAGTGCGCGCAGGTGACTCTCCTGCAGTAGCGTGTGCTGGGGGCGTGATCCACGGAGCTGCTCCGGCGCTCAGGCAGGCCGGATCTTCATGGCGCTGGTGCGGTACGAGTAGCGGTATCCCTTCCCGGTTTTCCAGTTGATCCCGGTGGCATGGCTCTCCTTGCTCAGGTGCGCCCCCTTCAGGTAGAGGCCATTGAGGTTGGAGGAGTGGCAGCTGCCGTACCACCATGCTCCTCGGTAGGAGTTGGCACAGTTGCTGTCCGACGCGTCGTTGTCCCGATCGAACGTGGTGAAGGAGTGGTTGCCATGGACAGAGAGAGAGTCACCTGGCACAGCGAGAGTGAGAGAGAGAGAGAGAGAGTCACCTGGCACAGCGAGAGTGAGAGAGAG